TCAACTTTCGAAAATGAAAAAGGGTATAATTTCTCCCTTAGTCAGTCTAGTTTGATCTCATCTTAAAAACATTCATTTTTTTATCACATGTTGGATTAAACCCAAGCCCAAACTCAAATTTAACTTGGTCTAAGTCCTCTTACAATACTAATGGGCTTATATAACCTACTCGGGTTAACCCGAAACTACTAACCCAGGATCGGGGTGTTACAACTCTCCCCTCCTAATTAGAAATTTTGTCCTAAACATTTACCTAGATATAATAGGTGAGGATACCGAAGCTATATGTCCTCCTCGGTTTCCCAAGTTTCCTTCTCAATGCCTTGGTTAATCCACATCACATTCACCAATGGAATCCTCTTGTTCCTTAGCTCATTTATATCTCTTGTTAAGATTCTGATTGGTTCCTCCTCACAGGTCATGTTTGGTTAATCTCAATATGTTTTAAGGGTATGACGTGAGATAGATCAGAACGGTATATCCTAAGCATGAATACATGGAACACATTATGGATGTGCTCTCTAGTTCTTATGGTAAAAATAACTAGTAAGCTATTGGTCTAACCCTCTTTAGTACCTTGTACGGTCTTATGAAGCGTAGGGTCAACTTTCCCTTGCAACCAAAACGAAACACTTTTTCCATGTGGAAACCTTGAGGAACAATTTGTCCCCTGCTGAGAACTTTATATCATTACACTTCAGATCTGCGTATGATTTCTACCTATTTGAGGCTTCTCTCAACTAGCTCTGGATTAACCGAACATTATCTTCGATTTTTTTGATCGAGTCTGGCCCCATTATCTTACTCTTACTAAGCTTTTTCCAACATAGTGGAGTTCTACAATTACGGCCACACAAAGCCTCGTACAGAGCCATCTGGATGCTCAACTGAAAACTGTTATTGTATGCGAACTCCACCCGTGGTAGGTGGTCCTCCCAACTACCCTCAATATCTATGATGGTGCACCTAAGAATGTCCTCTAAGATCTAAATGACACGTTCTGACTGACTGTCTATCTAAGGATGAAAAGTTGTACTAAAGTTTAGTTTGGTGCTTAAGGATTCATGAAGGGCTTTCCAGAAACGAGAAGTGAATCGAGGATTTCTGTCAGATATAATGGAAATAGGCACGTTTTGTAACCTCACTATCTTACGGATATACAAAGGAGTTAACCTTTCTAAGGTATAGTCTATTATGATTAGGAGAAAATAAGTTGATTTAGTTAAACAGTCAACTATGACCCAAACTATGTCATGTCTCTATCTGGTCATGGGTAACCCAGTCACGAAGTCCATGATTCCTTTGTACCATTTCCACTAACAAATTTGATTGGTTTAAGTAAACCTGAGGGAACCTGGTGTTCCGCTTTAACATGTTGACACACTAGACATCTAGCAATAAACTCTAACACTTCCCTTTTCATGCTCGGCCACCAAAACAACTACCAAAGTTCTTGATATATCTTATTACTGCCTGGATGAAATGAGACCAGACTACAATGCACCTCCTAAAGGATCTTATTGTGCAACTGAGCATCTGCGAGTACTCACAACCAACCTTTGAAGTACAAAGCACCACCATCGCGTAACTCAAAACCTAGTGATTCGCTTTGGCGAACCTACTCAACCCGAGCCTTTAACCGCTCATCTGAACTCTATAGCCTCTTGGTCTCGCAAACTAACTCTGACTAGACTCGCAACTGGGCTAACAAACCACGTATAATAGTGTTACCTTTACCTCCATCTCATTATTTCTAAAATCTGAAAGTATTTAAGTAAATAATGATTGCAGAGCTATGCGGTCTGATGGTGCTATGTGTAAGTGATATGGTTCACACTTAACAGCTATTGGGTAAAAGTTAAATTTTGTCAGGTAAAAGAAAAGAAATCCTTATCCATGGGAAGTTACAACAACTGTGTTTCAACGCAGTGAATCATCATAACAGTCTTTAATCTCTTAATATTTCATATATTTTTCTTGCTGCCAATGGAAACTCAAGTTGTTTTTTTTGTAAGAACTGTCTGTCCCGTGATTATAACAGCTACTTAGAAGATACTTTTGTTTAACATTCTTCTGAGTCTTCCACATGTTACATTGTTGTTGCTGAGTGGATAGAGTTTTTGTTGCAGGAGCTGTGGTCTATGCTAGAGTGCATGATGTCTGACCTTTTTGCCACTGACGATGTAGATTTGAAGAAGCTACTCAATGCAGAAGATAGGGAGTTAATTGGCCGTATGAAGTCCATTTTGGACCATTCATCTTGAGGCGTTTGAAATCAGATGTGATGCAGCAGCTTGTCCCAAAGATACAACAGGTAGGTGCTTCCTTACTCTTATGTTTTTAATAAGAGAAGTGATTTTTTCCTGGAGGAAATTTGATTTGAAATTCCTTTCACTTTTTAAGGAGTCTTAAGCTTCACTTCCGCAGGTTGAGTATGTAATCATGGAAAAGCAACAAGAAAATGCTTATAGGGAAGCTATAGAAGAATATCGTACAATTTCACGAGCACACATTGCTAAGTTATCAGAATCTGACTTGAATAATATCGTTGGAATTATTCCTCGACGTCAGATCTCTAACTATTTTGTTCAGTTTCGCAAGGTGCTTGATTTATATTCTTCTTTTCTCCTCTACACTCAGTTAATTTGAAAAGGATCCACCAGTTCGTAAGCCTAATTTCTTTGTTTTAAACTAATTTAGATTGCAAATCGTCCATTATCGGTGAGGCGGATTTATGATGATGATGATGTTGTTTGCTTTGCCAAAAGGTTACATTCAATGGGTGTTTTTGAATGTACCTTGGGCAGAGTAGTTGAGGAATTGAAGAATTACAGTGACTTCTCCATTCATCAGGTAATACTTGCTACAATTTCCATTTGTGAGATTTGCGTGATCAATCTTTGATTGCATTCATTCTCAACAAACTCATATAATGTTTATATCAAGTCAAGATTATTATTTATGAAGACATTAACTAAGACATACTTGAAATATTTTAAAAGTGGCAATGGAATTACTTGATAAAGTTGAAAAAGAAGATAGATTAGGATTAACAAGGGAGATCGGTAAGTTCAAGAAAAGGATTAGGACATCTATAAACTACTGGGATTGCTGTTGGGTTGTTGTCGTCATTCTTTGTGTTGCCATGGTCCTGTAATTTTTACAGTTTTCTTCACACCCTTTTGTCATGAATACTCTATGTTTAGTTTCCTTTTCTAGAATTAGCCTTATTTTCCCCTTTAGATATTAACAGATTTTAAGTTGTTTGTAGTAAGATAACGCTTTCAGATTGATCCAACCTAAAAGGTCAAGTTCTGACATGAGTGCTTGAATAGGTTTTAACTGCCCACAAGTTCTCATTGTACTAGTTTGTTGATTTTGAAACTGTTCACCGCATCTGAGCCCAATATTGACCTATATACTCTAAAAGCTAAGTTATTTTTCTATTCGAATGCTCGGGAATGTGATTGGTAGATCTCTGAAAATTTCAACAATGGTTTAAGACTAAGTTAATGTTGTACTTGTTATACTAGTTCTTGATGTGCCTCTGCTCTAAGTACATAATAGATTTATCTAGTATTCCAGTTTGGGTGCTCTTTTTTCTTGTGAGCCAAAGCCTTTTTATGTTATTTGAGCCTGAAGGTTGAAGCATATTAGATCATATGATAATGTAGATTCAGGAACGGATCAATTGCCAAAATTGTAGGTTTGTGAATTGTACCTTGTAATAATTCATCACATCCTAGGCTGGTCATCCATAGATATGTTTTGCGATGCATATCTTGTTGAGCACACCAATACCTACTTATTTGTAAAAGGTAATTAGAAGTTTAGTTTGAATTACAGCATGGATAATGTGTAAGCAAAGGTGGAAATAAAACACATACCTCATTTGTGAAGCTTTCTTTTGGAATTTTGGTTATAAATTCAATGAAGTCCAGGTCTGAATTTGTTGTTTGTTTGTTTGAATTCTAACCAGACCCTAGTGAATCTAATAAACTACAAAGTGTTTTTGTATTGATTGCAGTTTTCGAAAATCACTCATTTCAAACATTAATTTTGATAGCTATCACACTGAATTTTGAAGATTCTAATTAATCTTTGTACCTAATAATAAGACTTGTTTCTTTCATTCTGTTCCCTTCCTTTATCATTGAGGTGTTAAATACCAACACTCCAATTTTGCTATATTTTCATTTGACGATTCCTTTATCTTTTAATAAAGATACTTAGGTAGGTACCGTACAACCATCACTGTTCATAGTTGAACTTTTCTTTCCAAATAGAATTTTAGTCCATTTCAACTATATAATAAATGGATCAATAAATGTGTGTACATTTAATATCACTTCCCATTCTATGTTCTGTAGTTATTGTCATTAATATATTATTTTGGGCTCATCCTTTATGCATACATTTCCATTCTTCTCTGCATAATGACTAGGGTTTAATGAGAAGCTTATGATGAGAAGGCTTTTTGCATGTTTGAGTCTATTTCTGATCTAAATCACAAATTCTTTCTGTTCTAGTTTTGGCGTTCATACAATTTCTTTGTACATCCTTATTACAGCTTTTACTTCGTTATGGAATTACTGGTGGTAAAGGAACTCTCTGGGATGAACATGTTATGCTTTCTGCTAAATGCCAGGTATCTTTTAATTTCCTTTCTATTTTCATCAATCAAATACATCAGTTACATTCAGGTGTGCATTTCCTTTGGTGCCAGACATTAGCAGAGCTTCTCCCTTCACTCAAGAGAAGTGGGCATCGGGTTCTGTTTTTTAGCCAGTGGACGTCAATGCTTGATATCTTAGAGTGGACTTTAGATGTGATTGGGTTTATGTCTGTATTTTACTTGTACACAAAACATCTGTTCGTTTTCTTTTGACTACTTGGTTACATCTTCCGAATATTAAATATATCTTACTTTGCAGCACTCAGGTGACTGTTAGGCAGACTATAGTTGATGATTTCAATAACGACACTTTTCTATATTTGCGTGCTTGTTGTCCACAAGAGCTGGAGGTCAGGGTTTGAACTTAACAGGAGCTGATGCCGTAGTTATTCATGACATGGATTTTAATCCACAGATAGACCGACAGGCTGAAGATCGCTGCCATCGAATTGGCCAAACAAGGCCAGTTACTATATACAGGTACTTGAAAACATCCTTCTTTTCTCTTTACTTTTTCCTCTAGTCTCTTCTCCTCTCCTAATGAAGTTATAGTTCATGCCTAAGTGACTGTATGCTGAAATCATTTGCGGGTTGGTTACAAAAGGTACAGTTGACGAGAACGTTTATGAGATTGCAAAAAGGAAGTTGATTCTCGATGTTGCGGTTCTAGAGTCCAGAATGGATGTAGGCGAAGAAGATGACACATCCCAGAAAACGATGGGACAGATTCTATCATCCCTACTTATGAGCTATAACAAAGACTATGTCATGAACTTTTGGGTTTTTATACTTGTGCTGATTCTTTATATATGTTACACCCATTGTTGTATCAGTTATCTTGATCTATTTTAGCTACAAATTGCTAGGGATTGCTCTGTACGGGTCATAATTAACACCCCATAATCAAATAGAATATAAATGAGAAAACTATTAGAGGAAGGATTTGGTGCCTTTTGGTACCTGTAAAACTCTTATATTTTGGCCTAGTAAGTAGTAAACATCAGTAACGTTAGTTTAAAATGTCAAATTTCAAGAGATTGATGATTAACTATTATGGTGTAATATATGATTGTACGTCATTAAAGAACATGCTTAATGGTTTCCGTGTGGATGTGAATATATATATATATATATATATATTTGTACTTTTGAGGCTTGGAATTAATGGTCCAAGAAAACCACAAGTTTCTTCGATGTCCTTCCATATATGGGAGAGAAACTCGATTCAAAAAATCGATTTTTTTCAATTTCAAGTTATTTCAGGTAACTCGAATTATCAATTTGATTTTTGAGTTCGAATTGAGTTGAAATTTTGGAATTTTGAGTTACTCGAAAACCCGAAAATTTGAATAAATATTTTGGTAATTTTATGATTTAGTCCCTGATTATTATTTCTTCAATTTCTCATTCATTTTAAGTCTTTTTTTTACTAAATTTGAACAATATGCTCCTAAACCTTTGTAGAATACATATATAGTTTCAATTCCTCTTTTTTATAACAATTTGTTTTATTTTTCAATTTAGTCACTTAATTTTTTTTTATAATTTCCGTATTTATCCAATTTATCATTTATTTTAAGTTCATTTTTTACTAAATTTGAACCATATCATCATATACCACAATAGAATACCTATGTAACTTCAATTCTTATTTTTTTAATTAAAAATGTACTCTCTCTCTCTCTTTATTTGGTCGCTTAACTTTACATTTTACTCAAATTGGTTTTTTGATTACAATTGTTTGTAAATTCTTTCGTCTCATCATTTCCTTGACTCTTTTATACTCTCATCATTATTTTACCCACAAAATACTTTCTTTAAAAATATAATATTATGAATATATTTCATAATTTTATATTATATTTGATATATTAAATAATATTATATGTGAAAAGAATATATATATATATATATATATATATATATATATATAAGAGAAAGTCAGAATTGGAACAATTCCCTACCATAATGCTATAAATAATTATAATAAAATTAGTATATGAACTCGAATAACTCGAAAAAATTTTAATTTAAGTTCGAGTTTTAAAATATGACTCGTCAACTCGAATAACTCAAATTTTTTTAACTCGACTCGATCGAATGCACACCCCTACTTCCAAATATCACATTGCCTGACGTGTATAAAAAAAGCTTATATCACACACTTATATATCTTTCTCTAAAGTCAACTTGTCTAAAAAAGTTTTTTTTTTAAAGGAAATTGTCAAAAAGATGAGAATTATGTAACACGCTATTTCATCTTTTCTAGTGAAATTAAAATTATAATGGGGCCTTGGTCTATTCAGTTATACTCTAATTCTTGTACTTAAAAATCTCTTCAAATTTAAATAAATTAAAAAGGAATAATTAATTTTAATATATTGCGATAGAAAATATTTTTTTAAAAGCATAATACCTCTAAGTCCGTAAAATGAATGTCGTCTTCAAAAAATAACATAATACCTCTAAGTCCGTACAGTCGAATGAGAAAAATAGAACTCAATTGGTTATATTCTTTAAGCTCAGACTCAAACAACCACTTTCTTAAGCTCAGATGTTGGTTTATCTCCGTCAATTGCATTTCCTACATCAATCTAAATGGCAAGAAGCTGCTGCTGGTGATGGCACCGTCATCGTCATTGTCGGCGCACTCCTTGACAGCACTTCATTGAATGGCAAGGTTGATAGGCAATACGCAACTCTGCAGGCCATTGATTTATTTTTGGGGTGGATTCAGCAAAGTCGGATATGGTTAACCGTGTGATCAACTTGAGTAACAGTCAGCCACCGCTTGTGGCCGTACACGGCCTCTCGTCCCTCCTCAGAACTAAAACACCAATTGCCGCCACTGTGAACGCTAAATTCTGGATGAAATTGAGGATGTCGATATGCTTAAGCTTCGTTTGGAAATACTTCTTCAAACAAGTTCGAGCCACTCTCTTATATCTCTTAACCAATCTTACTGGTATTTGTATTGCTTAAAATACAATAAATAAAAAATTCAAGGTTAAATCTAATATCCTATCAATAAATTACTAAACTAAGACCTCCTTTAACAACAAGGTACGTGCCGTATCTAATCATCCTGGCAAGATATAAATTCAGCACAAAATTTGATAGTGACCAGTTGTAGATTTGCTATAGATTCTAAAGTTGTGAAGATGATAGAAATTTATTTATTTTTTAAAGTAAGCAGCTAATATTGGCTTGAGAAAGCCTTCCAACTTCCATGTTAGGCTACACCACCACGCTTTATAACTTGATTATCAATCCAGTAATAAAGTTTTCAACCATCCATCAAATAAAAAAATAATTAATTAAAACCCCATTTAAAATGTATACATTATTTTCACATTTTATTAAAATAAAATCCAGTAATAAACTTGATTATCAATCCAGTAATATTGGCTTGAGAAAGCATTCCAGCATCCATGTTTAAGTCATTTAAATCTATTTGATGTTAACGAAAAAGAAGATATAACAACCTTTGAAATTGATATTATAATAAATTTAATTCTTTTCTTAAAAGACCTAAATCTAAACTCATACACACGTACAGACTACGCCGCTCAAACCCGAGTCATTAAGAAAGAATAAATTTTCCTTAACCGCAGGCACCACTCCAAGGTTTATAACAAATTTAACTCTAAATGTTTAGCTATTGTATTAGTTTGATTATGAATTTTTTTTTTCAAAAATTGCCCTCAACATTTACATATTGTATCAATTTAATCTTATTTTTAAAAAGTCCAAATATATCTAAATTAAGAAAACATAGTGTATGTATCATATTGAGACTTAAATGATCAAACCCAATTAGTCAAGTCATGCAAATTTATCTTTTGATAACTCAATGATTAAAATATAAATTTACTAATAATGGGATGACTAATTGGTGTACTTTACTTTCTTTTTAATGGGCTATTAAATAATGCAATTTGGGCCTAGCCTTCTATAGGCTTTGATCAGAAAATGCCTAAAGTTAACGCATACAATTATAAACTCGCACCTTTAAAAGAATATTTAACTGTATCTATCATTCCAAAAGATGGTTTAAATTCTACATAGATCTCTAAATTTAAAAAATGGCCTAATTAATCCTTCAAATTGTTAATATTATTTTTAAATTGGTCATTGCGGCAGTTTAGCCATCAATTAAGACGTTAAATGTCGATCTAGATTTAACATAAAGTATATTTAAAATACATGGCTTAAATCATATTAAATTTAATGACACAATATTTTTATATTAGATCTAAATTGTCTACACCATATATGTATGTAGTAGCAGAGTCACACCTTGGTGAGTGTTCACCTTGAAATTTTGAAAATTTTGTTATATTAATTATTTATTTTATTAATGTCTCACCATAAAATTTTTCGTACCCACTCTGAAATTTAAGTTTTCTTCGATTAGTTATTTATTTTACAAACGATACCTACACTAAAATTTTATTTGTACTAATTTCAATTAAAAAATTTACATTGTTAACATATGTGTGCCCACTCTAAAAAAATATTTCTAGATCCGCACTGTAGACGTGTATTTAAATTTGACTCATGTACTTTAAATATACTTCACGCTAGATTCAAACTAATATTTAAGACTTCAACTTATGATTAGACTGATGAAATGACTTAACTGAAATAATATTAATAATTTAGGAACTCAATTAAATCATTTTGAAGTTTGGGATTTAATCTAAAATCTAGACATGATTAAAAGATGATGATTTTTATTTGGGGTTATATATATAAAATATATGCATTTTGTAGACACCCGATTTTGTCAGGGCAAAAATATATTATACTTCTTATTATTATTATTATTATTATTAAATTACAAACATTGCAAGCCTTTAAGCCCAATTCAGTATAAGCTGCCTAGTCCAACAGTGATCAAACCCAATGAAGCCCACTGGAGCCCAACCCAATTGAAGCTGAATAGATCCAAGATCCAGGCCTATTATCCAACCCAGAACCCCTTAGGGTTTCTGGTGAGTTCCCAGCGCCGCCTCCAACAAGCCGTTGGATCTGAACCCAATCAATGGTCCAGATCGTCCCGAAAATAGGGTTTCACCCTAATAGATAAAATCAGCCCCCACCACCAGCAGCTCCTCCAGATCGGAACGTGCCGAATTCTTCTCGAAGTCATCACCTACATCAACAAACCGCCCATCACCAAAGTAAAAAAATCAAACCTAAACCCGAAAAATTAGGGATTTTACCTAACCTAAATCAACAACCCAACATCTTATATACATAACCATAAATCAGAAGAAGGGGAAGGATTCAGAGAGGAGGCCGTCGAACAGAAAAAAAAATTAAGCGAGGCAGTCGAACAAAAAAGATAAAAAAGGGAGAAAATTGAAGGAAAAAATTCGGGTTCAAGGGAAAAAATAGAGAGAATAGAGAAAAATTTCACCTAAAAGGTTTGAATCCAGTCGAATGATAAAGAGTCACCGAAGACGAAGAAAGTCAAAACTTTCTTTGTAGATCTACGTTGATAGACTCATTTTTAGGTGAAACTAACCTCGGATCTCTAACCAGAGTGAGGAAGCGCTTGGAGTGGCATGTTTTTCTCACTCCTCCGACACCGACAAACGGCAATGGTCGTCGGTCAGAGGCGACTGATACGGCGGAGGCTCACCGGTTCTTGAGAGTTCTCTGGAACTCTCTCTTCTTTCTCTCCCATTCCCTCTCTCGTGCAGAGAAAAATGAAACAATGGGAGACAAATAAGCTCTTTTTAGGCTTATATACATTAAGCAAAACGACATCATTTCAGTGGGGATCTTCCGCGTAATTTCGCGCATGGTGTAATATCAATTACAGTCCTTTTGATTTTGTAATATGAC